CGCCCCGCCCGGCCACGCCCCGCCCGGAATTCCCTTTGGGACTCTGCCTCTATTGAGCATTTTTTAGGAGGATGGAGGTTATGCTGTGGTGGAGGAGTGCATCAGGGAGTTGTTGCTCGTCTGAACAAGGAGACAAACAGAAAGAGGCTGCTTTTGGCAATTGCTGGAAAAGATTGTGCCATAATGTTAGCGCCGTGGTGTGGGGAGAATCTCAGCATAAGGGTGAATTCTATGACCCGTGTATCAAAAGCTTGGCTTCAAGTTATTTGGGTTTTTTTTCTTTATGATGAAAGAAAAGGTAAAGTGCTTTTCCCCACAGCAGGTTTGCTCTGCACTTTTTGCTGTCACTATTCTCATCCTTTGGGTCTTTTGAGATGAGATGTTGAAAAATAAGTCAAACACCAGAGCAAGCTTTTCTTGAAAAGAAAATCTTCTTCTCAGAGAACCTAGGATGCTCCGTTTTGCCTCCTCAATAGTGTGGCAGTTTGTACTGTATCAAGGTTTGCTTAGTTCTTGTTAGGCAATCCACAAATATCAATCAGTATGATTTTGCTTTTGCTAGATGTGAAAGACTACAGTCACACGGTTTTTCCACCTTGTCTGACAAAGCTCAGTCATCAGTTGAGCTGATGTTGTCCCTGTTCCTATCCTCAGGTACAAGCAGGACCTACTTGGTTGGCTGCTTTCCTCAAAAACTCTGTGCAGGTCCCAGTCAAAGCCCTTTTCCCTTCCTGAGACTGGAGTTTGGTATTCAACCTTGGCATGTGCTGCACACCAGCTGGCTATTCTGGTTTAATAATTTACCACAAATCACTTGACCACAAGTTGCTTTTCCCTTCCTTGCTCCCACGGCTGTGTAGGCATCAGCTGGGGCACAAAACCCACTGAGCCTGAGATTATCTGTGTGCACCTTCACACAGACACTTCACCTAAGTCTGCTGCTTCAGAAATTACCTCTCTCAAGAGTTCTAGACTGAGCACAGCTGTGTTGTGATCTCACAACAGTGCGAGTATTTTTGTTGGGGCAGAAGGAGTCCTGCCATAGTAAGTCCTTGCTTGCAGGTGAAGTCTCTTGACTTGCTGGTTTTTCAGCCAGGGATGGCTTTTGAAAGACACGCGGGGCAGTGTGTGAGGCAGCAGTGTAAATAAAAGGAATATTTGGATGATGGACGTGTGCAAGGGAGGACAGGGCTCTCTGTGCTGCTTGCCCTGGGCAGAGCCGCCTGGCAGTGCTGGCAGCAGAGCTGGGACCGGCGGCTCGGCCAGCAGAGGCCGTGAGAGCTGGCATTTGGCAGGCGGTGGCTGCATTCACCCCGCCTGCAGCCCGCCTGGAAATGGTACCCCTAGGGCCTGGTGGAGGCAGCTCTGTAACTTGGCTCCCGATTCAGAGTGGTTACAGGAGTCTGGCTCACAGCTCCGGCATTCCTCAGCCCCGGGAAGCTGTGAATTTGTGCAGAGCCACATCTGCTTGTCTGTGGCAACATGAGAGCATCAGGGGTACCCTCTCGTGTTTGGGCTTTGCCCAGCCAGTGGTATTTTTTCTGAAGCAAGCTCAGTGTTTGTGCTGGGGACACCTAGGGATACTGGTCATGCCAAGCATCT